TGTGCGCCTGGGTTGTCCTAGTGAGCAGATGACTGGGTGGTGTGTGTGTCAGAGACAAGGAGACCGTGCACCATCGAGAATTTGCACTCTTGGGAGGCAGAGGCTCAACCCCGGGTAGGCCAGCGAGGGGCCTATAAATAAGCCAGTCTTGCTACTCAGAGTTTTGTTAGATGCAGGACCTCAAGCTCCACATTGAGAGGTGTCCCCACACAACATCTCTACTGAGTGCTGACCTGTTGGAGGTGAGGTGCACTTCCGTGTTTGGGGGTCACCATGGGCTGGCCTGGAGGCCTCAGGTGGTCACATCAGGCTGGAAAGGACTTGAGGTTCCTGTAGGTCCTGGGTTTCTAGCCTGGGCACTGTGGATATTTGGAGCTGGATTACTGTCTGCCATGGGGCGTCCTGTGCTCTGGGATACTGGCCAGCATCCTGGCCCCCACCCACTACATGCCAGTAGCATCCCCTAGTTGTGACAACCAGAAGTATCTGTAGACATGGCAAAATGTCCCCTAAACCCAGGTTCCCATAGTTGGCTGCACAGCAGAGCCTCCAGGGAGCTCCGTAAAAAGACAAACCAGACTCCCAGATCCCATGGCATCAGAGTCCCTGGGGAGAAGCCCTGACAGTATTATTTTAAACGTTCCACAGGATATTGGTTGATCAACTTCAGAATAAAAACCACTTAATCATATACCTTGAAAGGGTGAACTCTAGAGAACGCCAACTGTATGTCAAAGCTGTTACTCAACTCCCAGGTGTTTATGAGGCGGGAGCCAGGCACATGCGCCTCCCAGTGACTGGGAGCCACCAGACTCATGACCCCAAACTTGTAGGGCATAAGGGTCCCCTGCGTGCTTGAGGCAACTGCTCTGGAGGAGGCCCAGGAATCTGACTTTTCATCAGTGCTCCAAGCAAGGAGGGGTCAGAGAGCAGGGCCAGAGCTGGGGCTGGAGACTCCCCTAACTTCCCAGCAAATGCAGAGGCCCTGTCAGGTGTGCTGGGAGCTCCTGGTCTGAGATGCTCAGACCAGGGGAAAGGCTGCAAAAGCAGGCCAGACAAACGAGGGAGAGCCAGAGCTGGGAACAGAGAACCTGAAACCTTCCTCAACTTCCCTAAGGCTGGAAGCTCAGACGCAAGGCTGAAGGAGTCAGTAACCATCTATTACACATGAGAGTGTAAAATGGCTGGAAAGCAAAGGTGCTGGTGCATGAACGGAAGGGAAGAGACAGCCATCCTCAGCTGTCCTTGATCTCACCGCCTCCTGGGAGCTACCCCAGCAGCACACACAGGAAACTGGCCTTGTTACTTCAAAGCCCAGCCTCTTCTGGGCATGGTCACCCCCTACCTGCCTGCCAGACTTGAGCTCAAATGACCGTTTCCAAAGTTCCGCTCTAAACACCATTTGCATCCGTGACATTGCTTGAAAGGACGATTTGAGCTCTCATTTCTGAAGACTGGACGTGGCAGCATGTGGGATGAAGGTCTAGCTTCCCCAGGTGACAGGCAGTGGGTGTGTCTTTCCGGTCTGCCGTTAAAACACCTGAGCGTGCTAACTTAGGGGTTTGCAAGCTCCTAGTGCCCTGACATGCTGCTGGGCTTGCATCATGTTCCATGTCTTCCTGAATGGTCTATCAACACTTTAAAATGAGAGTTTGCACGAAAAGCCTCACTTCTGGCTCACCTTGGACATTTGTAACAGCTGGCCCAGGTTCCTGCAAGGCTGCAGCTGCCTGAAGCCGACCGTCACAGTGGGGACACAGCCAGCCTGCCCCTAGTCAGCCAGGCCACTCCGCTGGCCACAGACGTGTGTGTCCAGTTCCTGTCTCCAAATCGGTTGGAATCTGGAGGGACCTTGTTTTTCACCAGGAAGAGCTTCACAAGTGAAAGTCATGCTCCGTGGGTTGGAGGGGGGCAGCTGGTGGATGAATGGAGACTCTAAAATGCTTTCTGCGGGCAGGCAGGGCTCCCCTTCAGACAGCTTTCAAAAGAGAAGGGCTTGTTCTCCAAGATTCTCTCCGATGAAGTGGACACTCCCAGGGCCGCTAAGGGTCCCCAGGGTATTTCGAGGGCTCTCTGAGAACGCATTGTGGCCGGCAGCACAAAACCACGCTGTCCCCAAGGCCGGCCCCCAAACCCGGCAGTGGGCGGGGCCACCATGGCTCTGGAAGTCTCTGAGGGGCTTTTATAGCAGGACTTATCTGAGGACAGATGCGAGCTTTGAGTTTGGTTACTTCCCAGGGTCAGTGTTGGGGAGGCTGCCTGGGCTGGACAAAAGTAGGTCTTTTGAGGCAAGGCTATTTCCAATTCCAGCATTTGGAAGGGTCTCTGGTTGCTTAGCCACAGCTTCTGTTCGGGCAATTTATGTGTTTCAGATGCACCTTAGAATAACCACTCTTTTAGGGGTCGGGGGCGTTGGGTCCCCTCAGACCCATTTCTAGGATGGCTGAGGCCGTGTCACCAGCACAGCCCAAGGTGCTGGGAGCCTGCTGGCCGACTTCTGCTCTGCTTCCCGAGGGCATTTCTCCTGGGGAACAAGAGCTGCACATGCTGGTGGGGTGGTTTCCTGTGGATCCTGCTGAAGCCATGAGCCAGGCAGATCTGGGACAGTTGGTCACCTTACCCCCTGTCCAGCCTGACACTGCTGCTGCATCACAGGCCAGGAGCCATGTCCCCCTGGCAAAGGAGGAAGCTGGACCCAGGACCTTCTGAAATTCCCACTCTGCAGACCCCATCCTGGTTCTCTCTGCTCCCCAAGCACGTTTCCCTGCTGGGAGAGGGTGGGCTACCTTCCTGAGGCACCTGCCTGGGGGTCGGTGCAGCACCTCCCTCCCAGCTTCCTGCAGGCCCCACCCTCTGGGGCTGGAATCTGGAGGGGCAAGGATTCTGCCTGCAGCTCCCATCTGGGACCAGGCCAAAGGCCAGCTTGTTCCCCCACAACCTCTATGGGGAACAGGACTGTTGTCTTCTGACACTGCTCCTGGCTGGCTGCTGGCGGTTTTCCCCACCTTCCTAAACTCTGAGGAGCCTATCCTAATGCTAATGGTTACATAGTCACCTACCTGGGCCTCACTCCTCGATGCCTGGGCTGCAGGAACCAACTCAATTGGTTGGATTCCCTTTGTAAAACTGAAAAATGGCTGGGAAGGCAGCTTTGAGGGGCGACTGGGGATGGATAGGAGGGTCTGAAAATCGAACCTGGATGTGTGGGTGCCCAAGGGTCAGGGCTGCAGGGGACAAGCCTGACATGGGATTCTTCGCCTGAGCCCAGGCCGCACCTCCCTTTCCTGCCGTGGGAGGCAGTGGAAGGAAGTTGGGGCCCTTATACCCATGTACAGCACCCAAGGAGGACAGCTACTGGGCAAGGGGCTGGAGAGCTGAGGCCTCCCTGAGCAAACCTGGGCAGCTCACACCACCACCCCTGCCCTCAGAACACAGGGTTAAGGCACCTCGGGACACTTTGCCATGGTGGAAAATGTAGCAGAGGCAAGAATGTTTGCTGTTGATTCTCTACTGGGACTCAGCCACGGTGGTTCTGGCTGGTGGCTCTGGGAGGCTGACCCCGGGGTGGGGGCCTGAGTAGGGACCAGCAGGTCCACTCACCCACGTGGGGCAGACAAGGCCACCCTCTAAAGAGGGCACCAGGCCAGTCACCCTCATCCACAGTCAAAAAGTGAAAGATTTTATTCTGGGGAGAAGTTGCCAAAAATACTCATCTGTGATATGGGGGTGAGTGCGGGGTCCAGGACTGCACCAGCCAGTGCTCCCTAAGGCATCCTGAACAGGTAAGTCGCCTGGGTCAGGAAAAGCTTGGCCTCATTTAGACACAGTCCTTGGAGAAAGAAAAGAGAAGTCAAGGTCTGGGAGTGGTCACCGATGAGGAACTGGGGAAAGCGCCAGGGGACCATTAGGAAGGGGGTAGGCATGCAGTGTTCCTGAACTCTGATGGCCGCCAGGCTGGGGATCCTCCTCCATGCCAGCTTCCTGGCTCCCCCCTTGGCAGACCCCTGGGCACCTCACCCCCCTCCAACTCCCTTACCCACCTGGCAGTCCCAGGAGCCTCTAGTGGATGTTGGGGGTGGGGGGAGAGTCATGTCCCAAAACCACGCAGAGGGAAATTTTTTAGACTTTGTGTAATGTGTAGACACGTCAGAAGTACAAAAAGCATAGAAGACACAACTAGACAGAGCTGAGGAATGGAGAGGAAGAGGGAGAGAAGTTGACAGAAGGAGGGAGGAACAAGCTGCCTAAGGGGAAAAAATCAAGCCATGCATGCCTGGTGGCAGCTGCCCACTAAATGGCCAGATCAGGACATTACGACCTCTTTATTCTACAAGTGCACAGGCAGTTAGCACGGGAACCAGAAGGACATCAAACAGGCGTGCGGGATCCCAGCCCTTGGTGGGAGAGAGCAGTCCCGGAATATTCCAGGGCCGCTGCTCCAAGTTCCTCATGGATTGGCCAAAAAAGTAAATATAAACAATCAGGTTTTAAAAATATCCAATTCATAACCGTAATTACTGGTGGGAATAATCAACATGAAATAAAAAAAAAAAAAGGATGCACACAGTAAAATTTGGTTCCCGTGAGAAAATTGGTCTTGTTAGAAACAATGGCCCCCAAAGAAAATGTCCGTGGGCAGTAGCTGTAATTGGAACTGATTCTGATAGAGTCATTTCAGCAAAATAAAAAGGAAAGTGATTGTTTTTAAAAGCACATTAGCTGTTGTATTGAAAACTCGTCAAGGAATTATATTGGCTTAGTGAAAAATTCAATCTATAAAGCTATGTGCTCCACGAAGCGTAGGATAAGAAGGATTGTGTTGTATTTATATGCATGAGTTAAAATAGCCCCTGGGTCAAAATGATTCCCTTATGGAGGCCCCTCCCCCACGCCCAGGGCCCCTGCACCCTCCTGAGGCCAGGCTCAGGGCCCAGTCTCTGCGGGCAGGGGGAGAGGACAGACGGTAGGGGTGCGGGACGCAGGGGTGCGGGATGCAAGTCTCACGGATTGGTGGGCTCCTCGGATGGCTGCATGCTGGCTCGGGACTCGAGGCGCAGAGCCCTTGGGTGCCGGGCGGGCCCTGGGGCCTGCTGGGGGTCCCGCCCGGATGGCGTCAGTGGGGGGAGCAGTGGCAGGGGCAGCAGCGATGGAGGCTGAGCTGGTGTCGTAGGCGGGGGGCCTGAGGCAGCGGAGCGCACGCTGGCGTGGGGGTGCAGGGCTGGGAGGGGCAGGAAAGTCGGTGATGTGTCCCAGGAACATGCCCCGGGGTGGGCGGGGGAGGCTGGCCGGATGGGGTCATGCCCACTAAGGAGCCCAGAAGCTACCAGACTAGAAGTGGTTTCCCACGGCTCACCCAGTCCCAGGCACCCTAAACTTCCCAGGGGGGGGGTGACCCCAGATAAATGACACCAGAAACGGACGCTGAACCCGACATGGACCTGGAGTCCAGGATCGGGGCGGGGGTTGCTGTGCCCCCAGCTCCACAGTCAGCCCGGAGAGCAGGGCTGAGGACACAAGGGAGAAAGTGCTCCCGCAGATGCCTGGTGCATGGTGAGAGGACTCCGAGGAGTCCCCCCAGCCTGGCTCATGGGGCCCCAGGCAGAATGAATGGGCTTCTGATCCCATCCCTGCAGCTAGCTAGACACCTGCGGACAGACATCGGGCCTTGACCCCTGGGACTGGCACCCGGTCCAGGAAGCCCCACTGAAGGGTAAACTAGGAGCCCAGAATAGCTGGAGGCACTGGCCAGGGAGCGGGTGCTGGGTGGGGGCCACTCAAGGGGCCTTCTTGGGCCCTGGCATAGAGCAGGTGAGAGACGCATGAGGTGGGGCAGGTCTCAGAGCCCCAGGTTGGGACTGGGAGGCCCCAGAGACCTTGCCAGAATCCCAGCTGGGCCAGGGAGTTAGGAGGGCAGGTACTCACGGGGGTAGATGGAACCATAAAAGGTACTCTGGCGTTCACGATCATACAGGTTTCGAGTTGGAGGGTGTGGAATCTTCACAGCTTCACCGAAAAGAAAGGGGAAGAGACAGGACCGGGTGAGGGCTCTTGCAGAGTTCGCCCCCTCCCAGAAGCCCCGCCCTGTCACCCCCACCCCCGCAAAGGCCCCTTCACTGTTCCCCAGACGCGCCCATCCACACACCTGCCACCCAGCCCTTGCAGAAGACTCCTCCTCCCACCTTCCCGAGTCTAGGGTTTCTCAAGGCATAGATATTCCCATTGAGGCCAGACCGCCACTGTGCCCCCGCCCCCACCTTCCCGTCCCTCGTCATGTGTGTGAATTTTTTTTGGCGGGGGGGAAGTAAAATTCACATACCACAAAATTAACCATTTATTTATTTATTTTTAAGATTTATTTATTTGACGGAGAGAGAGAGCGTGCGCACAAGCAGGGGGAGCAGCAGAGGTAAAGGGAGAAGCAGGCTCCCTGCTGAGCAGGGAGCCCCATGCCCGGGGCGGGGGGGGGGGGGCTAGATCCCAAGACCCTGGGATCATGACCCCAGCCGAAGGCAGACTGAACCACCCAGGTGCCCCACCATTTATTTAAAAAAAAATTTTTTTTAAGTAATCTCTATGCACAACATGGAGCTCGAACTCACAACCCAGAGATCAAGAGTCACACGCTCCAACAACTGAGCCAGCCAGGCGCCCCACAAAATTAACCATTTAAAACAGTTAATTCAGTGACTTTGTTCATTCACAGTGGTGTGCGACCACCACCTCTACCTAATTCCAGAACATTTCATGCCCCCCAAAGAAAACCCTGTGCCCAGGAAGCACTCACTTCCGGTCCTCTCTCCCCCAGCCCCTGGGGGACAGGGATCTGCTTTTTGTCTCTGCAGTATGCCTGTTCTGGACCCCTCACAGACCGAGGACGGTACAACATTTGGCCTCTTGGGTCTGGCTCCGTCCTTCACTTTTGAACCCAAGGCATCCCCTTCTCCATGTCCAGCCGAGAATCTCCATGACTGGCCACCCAGACCAAAGGCTGCACAAGAAGAGGTGGGACCGTGGGGGTGGGGTGGAGGCCGTGAGAGTGAAGATGCGGGTGAGGGGGCGCCTGGGTGGCTCAGACGGTTAAGCGACTGCCTTCGGCTCAGGTCATGATCCTGGAGTCCGGGGATCGAGTCCCGCATCGGGCTCCCTGCTCGGCGGGGAGTCTGCTTCTCCCTCCGACCCTCCCCCCTCTCATGTGCTCTCTCTCTCTCTCTCATTTTCTCTCTCAAATAAATAAAATCTTTAAAAAAAAAAAAAAAGAGGCGGGTGAGGGCCCAGGCCTGCCCCTCAAGACGAGTTACAGGGGCACCAAGCTCCTTCCCATGAAGGACACCGGATTCTTCCTTCTGCCCAGACACTGTGTCCTTCCCTGGGTGTCCTGACAATTCTCGCTTCGAATGTCCTTTCTTTAAAGAGTCCTTTAGCTCAAGTGGTCATCCTCTCCCTCACTCCCATGTTTCATCCTACTCACTGAATTATTTCTTTAGTTTATATCTTATGGTCCCTCATGGGGTAAAAACTCTAAGGGGGCAGTAACTATTTCGTCCACGTCTTGTCTCCCCAGTGGTATCTAAAGTACACGTGGCGCCAATAAGGGCTTGGGAATGACCAGCTGAGTGACCAGGGTCTTGCAGCAGCAGGGTCAGCTACACGAATTCCCTTTTAAGGAAAAACTCGCTGTTCAGCCGCAGGAGCAAAGGGAGCCAACGGTCTCCACCTGTTGGCACCTCAGGGGCTGTTAGCAGCTCCGGCCAATGGTAGGAGCGCAGGGGTGTTTGTTCAGCTCCCCACGGGGCTGGCATGGACCTCATCAGATCTGCTTACTATCTGAGGGTCTCTGCTTGCTCTCTCCCTTTCCTCCCCCCCTCTTTGTAACCCTCCCACCCCAAACCTCTTGTATTCCTAACTCTGTCTCAAGGTCTGCATCAACTCCTCCTTGAGTGTGAACTAAGAACTAGCTCCACTGTGCTTCCTGGGTTCTGTGAAGAGCAAATGCCCAGTTGAGGGGTACTCCCTGGCCCCCGCTCTGATCACCAGTTGGCACCTGGATCCCTCCACAGGTCAGAGGCAGGACCGGCCGACCAGCTGACCAGTGAGACTGTCTCACTGCTTCCCTGCCAGGTGAGGGATGTGGGCCCAGGGCACAGGTTCAAAATCGAGACCCAGTGAGGCTTGGAAACCCAGCTCTGACCCAACAGATGCCCTGGACTCGACACCTGACCCAGACACCTGCTCCTCCCAGGCCCTCCTCTGCGGCTTGCCCCCCTCTGCAGAAGCCAGAAGCCGATGAGCTGGGAGGCTCTCGATGGGAGGGGACCCTAAGCTCTGGCAGATGAGAAAGATTCCCCAGGGCTTCAAGGCAGGCACAGAGCACGGGCAGAGGCCCAGAGGCGGGAGACAGCCAGGCTCACTGACAGACAGGAAAACCGTTCTGAGATGCTGGAGGGAGGGGCAGACAGGGGACAAGCACCCCTTTCTACACCCCCCCTGCCAGATTGGCCAAGGAGCCTGGACTCGGAGGGCAGTGCCCCTGAGATATCCCCGTCCTAAACCCTAAAACCTAGGACCCTGAATTATCCAGATGGCCTAATGTAATTGCGAGGCTCTGAAGAGGGAGGCTGGAGGGTCCAAGTCAGAGAAGGGGAGGTGAGGACACAAGTGAGATGGGAGTGATGCCTCTGGAGCTGCAGGAGGGGCCATAAGGTAAGGAGCGCAGGAGGCCCCTGGCAGGTGGAAGCAGGGTGGGAACAGAGTCTCCCCTGGAGCCTCAGAAGGGACTGGCCCCGCCAACAGCTTAGTTTTAGCTCTTTAAGACTCATTTTGGACATCTGACCTCCAGAACAAAGATAATAAATTTGGGTTAAGCCCCTTGGTTTGCGGGAATTAGTTACAGCAGCCATAGGAAACTCATAGGGATGGGCTCTGAGCTGGGGAGGGTCCCGGTCACGGTGTGCGTTTTAGGCAGTCCACCCAGAGCTGGTGAGGAGGGCTGAGGCCTGCGCCCGCCCCTGCCACATCCTTCTCTGTCCTACCCAAGTCCTGCCTGAACCTAGCCTTCCTTCCAGGGCACTTCTTTGAAAGTCCAGCCTGCTGACCACCCGCCTCAGTGCGTCCATTCCCCTACTGCGGGGGCACGGCTCACTGGGGACCAGCCGTTCCCCTGCCCTGGCCTGATCTCCTGACTCAGTGCAAGCATCCGGAGGGCACAGACTGCCCAGCTGCTCCTCAGTGTCCCCTGTGGGCCTGGCAAAGGGCTGAGTAAACGGCAGGGCATGCTGGATGCTGATGTGAACAGACGAACGCATGGTGGGGGGGGGGGGCAGGCTGGACCTGGGGCGGGGCTCATGCGGGCTCATTTAGGTTTAGCTTTCGAGCCTGTTTTGGATTAGAATGTTCTTTTGAGTACATAAATGAGCGATAAGAACAATCTGGTCAAAAGATCTGGCCACAGGCGGGTTTCTGATTGATTTCTAAGCTTTGTTGTCCCCAAGCAGGGCACAGCAGTTGAGGAGTTGTGATTCAGGCCTGCTTTGGGGCATGGGTCTCGAGAATGAATGAGCCATGGGGAGAGAAGCCCCATCCCTCTGGGTGACAGCCCAGGGGAGGTGGGTGGAGAGGGGTCCTGTCTGGTGCCTGAGCAGGAAGAAGGGCCCCTCCACCAAGGGTGCACTTCCAGCCAGCAGCCCTCAGCTGCCTTTGTGCAATGCCTCCAACGAGTTGTTGCTGGAAGAAAGGAGGCAGCACAAGCCTGGCAATAAGTTGGGGCTCATTAAATATTAGCCACCATTGTTATTACCCTGCCTGGTGACCCCTGAAGCTTAACCTAACAGCAGCTGCTGCCGGGGGCTGAGCCTTGTCTGGGATGAGCCATGAACGCCACATGGGCCAGATCCATGCTGGGGGAATGCAGGGCTCAGATGGTGTCCTGCCCTCCTGGGTTGACGGGTGGTCCCCAAAAAGATACATCCCCCAGAACCTATGACTATAACCTTATTTGGAGAAACGGCCTTCGCGGATGTAATTGAGGATCTTGGGCTCATCCCGAGTTAAGAAGGACAAGTGTCCTTATAGGAGACAGAAAGACAGAAGAGAAGACACAGGGGGAAGGCCACGGGAAGATGGAGGTGGAGACTGGAGGGACACAGCCACCATCCAAGGAATGCGTGGAGCCGCCACAAGCGGGAAGAGGCAGGGAGGAACCTCCCCTAGAGCCCTGGAAGTGAGCACAGCCCTGGGACACCTTGATTTTTGGACTTCTAGTCTCCTGAACCATGAGAAATTCTGCTGTCTCCAGCTCCCCAGTTTGTGGCCATTTGTTGCAGTCATTCCAGGACAATAACGCGGGCTCCTCTTTCTTTGTCCAGCACCCGCAATTGAACAGTCCCCTTTCCTTACGCGTCTGGTATTTCGTCCTCCAGTCAATAGGGACAATGTGGGATGAAGAAGAATACCATGGGCAGAATTTAACCCTCCAGCCACCTTGGGGCGCCCTGCCACAGGGCAGTGTATGGCTCCCACCCAGGGCAAAACTGAGAATTCCTCTTCCCAGAAGGAGAAAACCCCGAAGGGTGTGCACAGAATGTACCCCTTCTGGTATTGCCGGCCCACTGCTGGAGCCAAGGACTGGGGTTCCCAGTAGGAGCCAGCTGGAGCGGAAGCCTTGATGCTGCAGCAATCAGAATAACTGATTCCATGTGTCCCCTACTAACCCAACCCTCACCTAACCTGGGACACTAAGACACAGGCCTCCAGGGTCTGTCCACGTCTCTTCATCATTCCCAACCCCTGCCTAATCTCCACCACAGGTAGACTCAGCTTCCTGAGTTCCAATTGTGCCTGGCTTCCAGCCCCCACAGGATCTTTGTACCTGCTATGCCCTCCACCTGGGCTACTGTCTTTCCACCTGGCCCCTTGATCCAGCTAACCTCTATTCCCTCATCAGAGGCCTCTTCTTGGACTGATGTCCTTCTCACAACTCTCCCATCCCCAGCCCAGCATCCCTCTTTCCTGAGGCCATCTGGCACCTGTCCCTAGGCCAGCATCCTTTGTCTCCAGGGTCCTCCTCTCAGGTCAGCTATTCACTGCTATTCCAAACAATGGGGCCTCATCTTCAGGTTATTTGCTCACAGTCTGCTTCTCTCACTGGTGTGGAAACCCTGGAGTGATAGCCCATCTTTCTTGGCTCTCCACCACCTCCCCAGTGCCTGGTGCAGTGCCTGGCATACAGTGGAACCCATTTCTGCAAGTGACTGTGTGAGGACCCCCCAGCCCAGGATGGGGCCAGCTCTGAGCCCGGCCTGCACCTCCTCATCCTCCCCAGCAAAGCCAGGACGTCCAGGACACGGGCTCCCAGGAAGTCCTAGAAGCTCTCACCTGTCCTCTTCTCAACGCTGGTCAAAGGCCGTGCCCCATCCTGGTTGGCCATTCGGCCCTTGTACAGGATCCCGTCCACTCCCAGAATGTCCACCTCAGCCTGTTAGATGGCCCGGATCCCAAGTCAGGGAGTGTCCTCCCCTGCATCTCTGGTACATGCAGAGGATCAGCAGACAGAGCACGGCCTCCCCGGGGTCACCCACGCCCCGGGGTCACCCACCCACGACACTACTCACGGTGTCATAGTCGAACACCTCGGGGTCCCCGTAGGGGTAGAGCGTTGACAAGTCATAGGAGTTGAACTGGAGGTTGGCAAAATTGCCAGGGCCATCGCCCCAGTCCTTCTGGGACCCCAGCGAATCCAGACTACTTTGCTGGTCTCCAAGGTCCCGGAGCTGCTGTAGCCGCCGGTGTTCCCTGGGGTAGGCAGGTAGGACAGCAGGCGCTGGGAGAACCCTCTGCCCCAGAGAAGCATCAGGATGGGCCCAAGGGCCCGCCCAGTGGCAAGACAAGACTGGAATTTCTTCCAGCTTGAGTTTGGGGGGTACGTTGGGCTGGCGGGTGGATACGGACAGGCGCAGTCGGGGCAGAGGGGAAACCCAAGGCCTATGCTCCCCCAGACCCAGCCACCCCTGGGGGCCTTGGTCTGGCCCGACAACAGAAGGCTTTTAACCTGTGATCTCAAGAGGGAGTGATGTCAAGAAGGAGTCAGGCATAGGAAGGTGGGGGTGCGGGCCCAGGTCCCCATGGCTCTCCCCTTCATGTGGCTGTGATTGTTGGTCAGCCTTCATTTCCCCACCTGACCAGAAGTATCTCAGGCCAGGGTGTAGGAAGCACCCACAGTGCGTGGGAGGTCAGGAGGTTGAGGGTGGGGCCACCCAGGGAGCCCACCAGGTGCGCTGGGAAACTGTAGGTCAAGGCACCAACTCTGCCACTTACTAGTTGTGACCTTGAGCAGATCGCTGAAGTTCTCTGAACCTCATTTCCTTCAACTACAAAATGTGGTGAAGATAGAATACACCTCAAAGGGAAGGCTTAAGGATTCACTGAGGTCGGCTAGGGCAAAGCACTCAGCGCAGTGAGCTGAGGCCATGGCCCTCGCTTACTTCCACCAGCTGGAGGCGGGCACGTCCATCCTAGCTCACAGGAGTGGTGAGATTTAAATGAGAATCCTTCCCGAATGGTCTCCGCCCATAATAGATGTCCAATAAATATGCCCATTCCCTTCTGCCAGTGTCCTCTCCCAGGCCATCTGCTGCCCCAGCACCTCCCCAGACGGCTCCCTTGCAGATGGCTGTCAATGCCCTGGGACTGGAGCTGGCATCTCTGCAGGGCTCCGGGCTCCTGAGGGCTTCTGCGGGGCAGGCCCCCAGCCCACTCACCTCAACTGTTGCTGCTGCAGGTACTCATACGTGTTGGCACTGGCTGGCCGCAGCCTCGAAAGCAGGTGGGCTTTGCGGATGGTGATGAGTTGCCTGTTGGAGGACAAGAGTTCAGGGGGAGACACAAGTGTCCAGCAGACAGCCCCAGCCTCCCTCCTCCTCCAGGAAGTCCACCCTTAAACCCATCCCTCTCTCTGGAGACATCCACAGCACGGCCCGCTGCGCTCAGGGCCCTAAAGAGCCCCAGTGATCTTTGACAGTCACGAAGAACAACTGTTCTGATTATAAAACTAAAAGCAAGAACAGGTGAATCCTAGAAACAGAACGCAGATCGGAGGTTGCCAGGGGGTGGGGGAGGGGATGGGGAGTGGCCACAAATGGGGCTGGGGTTTCCTTCTGGAAAGTTGGTGAAAATGCTCTGGTGCTAGAAGGAGCGGTGGTTGCGCAATATTGTTGAGGTACTAAATGCCCCTGACCTGCCCAGTTTTAAATGGTTGATTTGTGTTGTGTGTTTTACCTCCACACACACACACACCAAAAAAAAAAAAAAAAAAAAATACATATATATATATCAGCTCTCTGAGCAGAGGGAACTATTGATCTCATGTTGATCTCAGAGGTGGTTATAAAGGTGTGTACACCTGTACAAATTCATCAGATTGCACCATAAACATTTATATACTTTACCATTTTAACCACAATAAAATGTTAAAGTAATATATACTGTCAGCATTTTAGAAAGGACAGACCACAAATAAACACAAAAAGCTCTATAACCATGTGACAAATATTTTGATATGTGTCCTTCCAGTAATTTTCTGTTTATGTATTTTTTTAAAGATTTTATTTATTGGGCGCCTGGGTGGCTCAGTTGGTTGGGCGACTGCCTTCGGCTCAGGTCATCATCCTGGAGTCCCTGGATGGAGTCCCGCATCGGGCTCCCTGCTCGGCAGGGGGTCTGCTTCTCCCTCTGACCCTCCCCCCTCTCATGTGCTCTCTCTCTCATTCTCTCTCTCTCTCTCAAATAAATAAATAAAATCTTTAAAAAAAATAAAGATTTTATTTATTTATTTGACAGAGAGAGACAGTGAGAGAGGGAACACAAGCAGGAGGAGTGGCAGGCAGAGGGAGAAGCAGGCTTCCCACTGAGCAGGGAGCCTGATGCGGGGCTCGATCCCAGGACTCTGGGATCATGACCTGAGCCGAAGGCAGATGCTTAATGACTGAGCCACCCAGGCGCCCCTGTATTTTTTTTTTTTAACAAAAATAGGATCATGGGCAACCCCTTTGGGACCCCTCCCTCCTTGGGAGCTTTATACTATCACTGCTATCGCTCAATAAACCTTGCTAAAAAACAAAACAAAACAAAACAAAAATAGGATCACACAGAAACTACTTGATTTTCTCATTTAAGTTATTGTGAACCTTTTTCCAGGCCACTAAATAATTCTTCCACAACTGTGCCATCCAATATGGCAACCACTGGACACGGGAAGCTATTTAAATTTATGGTTAAACTTAAATAAATTTAAATAAAATGCAAAATTCCATTTTCAGCCGCATTAGCCCTATTTGGCTGTCGGCTACTGCGTTGGACGGTGTAGCTGCAACCATTTCCACATCTCAGAAGTTTCCATTATACCTCCTTCTACAACATGACTTATATCAGCTGATGCAAATGTACATAACTCATTCACTGCTTCACATTGTTTCCTTTCCTTTTTTTTTAAATATTATAAATAACGCTGCAACTAGGGATCTGGGGCTTTAACCAAAAAATCTGGATATAGGCTCAAATCCCCTCCATGAGCATGGACTGATGATGTAGGGTGGTGAGCTTCGTGGGTCACGGGGGCCAGGCTAGTGTGGGCGCTGCAAGATTCAGGCTCTTAAACCCTACGAGAGTGTTGTTTGGTGGTTCTTCAAAAAGTTAGCCATCAAGGGACCACATGACCCAGCACTCCCACCATCTCCAGGTTTATACCCAGAATAACAGAAAGCGGGTGTTCCAGCCAATCTACGTACATGCATATTCACAGCAGCACTAATCACAAGAGCTAAAAGATGTATCAACCCAAATGTTCATCAGCGTGTAAGTGGATAAACAAAATGTGGGCGGCTTATATAATGTGATACGATTCAGCCATAAAAAATGGAATGAGGCACTGACACCTGCCACAGTGTGGATGAAACTTAAGAACATGATGCTCAGTGACAGAACCAGGTCACAGGTTGTACGACTTCATTCATATGGAGTGTCCAGAATAGGCGAATCCACAGAGATAGTGGTTGTCGGGGGTTGGGGAGACTGCTAATGAGTCTGGGGTTTCCTTTTAGGGAGATGAAAATGCTTTGGAATTAGAGGTGATGGTTGCAGATCACCATGAATGTGCACCAAATGACACTGAACTGTTCACTTTAAAATGGTGTGTGTGTGTGTGTGTGAATTTCACCTAAATAAATAAAAAGTATTAGACTCTAAAAATACATGCAAGGAAGTCCCACAAAGTTCAGCTTTTCCCATTTCCTTCTATCCTTTTGCTTTTGGAGTTGACCTTGACTCTGGGACACAGCAGGCGCCAGGCAGAGCTGGTGAAGGAGGGGATGCCAAGTGCCCCTGCCCGGGACCGGGAGCAAATGAAATCAAGTGTACGGAATAATGTGTATGGAATAATGTATACGGACAGACGGACAGAAAAATGGTGGACCTAGAACTTCCCCAGGCGCGTAGGTGGGGGAATCCAAACAGAGAGGGTGGGCGTGGGCGCCCCCTGGCGGCGGTACTCACGGGCCCGTCATCAGCTCCACAGGCCGGTCGCAGGAGATGCATTTCACCCGCTCAAACAGTTTCCTGGAAGACAGCCAGCCGTCAGCTGGTGCACCGTGGGGTAAGGTCTATCTGTTCCTCAGGGTCAGGACCTCCCTCCACACCCTACTCCCCTGCTGACCCAGCCCAGCTCAGCTCAAGTCGGCTCTGCTGGCCCCTGCTGATCCCTACCCTGTGGCTGCCTGGGGCACAGGTAGGGGATACAGTGTGTGTAGTTAATGTTCCTGCCCCAAACACAATGGAGGTCTTGAAAACCAGGGGCCTCTGGAAAGCTACCCTACACAGGGGATATTTGGAGGGATGAGGGGTCATCTGAGGACAGGAGACCCCTTCCCCACCCCAACACTGAGTCCGTCTGCCTGGGGCTCTATCTGGATGGGCTGGGGGACATGGCAAGAGGGCTCCTGTCCCAGATCCCCAGGCTCCCTGTGAGGCCTTGCATGGCCCCTACCCTCTGTGAGCCTTGGTTTCATTCGTGGCAAGAGGGGTTTAGAGCAGATGTGTTCCTGGAGCCCCTCGACAGCCAAGGCCAGAGCCCCTGGGTGCCCTCAGCTCCATCCCACCTTCACCCTCCTCCCCGAAGCCGGAAAGCCCCACCCCTTTCCCCTGGGTCCACAGGTCTGGAACCCTTCTTCCCAGAATCCGCTGGGATGCCCCTCTGGTTTCCTCTCTGGAGAGAGGGTCTCCCCAGCCTCTGGGAGCTGCACCCCTCCCCAGGTGGGGCTCACTTCCTAAAGCCGGCAGCACTGTCAGGGTCAAATCGTAGGCCTTCAATCAGGAGATTCCTGAGTACTTTCCAGATCTCATCCATGTCTTTCTTCAGACCATTCAAATCACTGTGGACCAGCTGCAAACAGCCAAAGGGAAGAGAAGAGCTTTTAGTCAGCTAATTCACACACACGCACACACACACACACACACACACACACACACACACACACACACTCCCCTGCCCCCAGCTTCACTGCAGAAAAGGAACTGCCCCAAAATTACACAGAGTGTAACAAGATTAAACTGAAACAGTGAGGGGGTCGAGGAAAAGGAAAATGACAAAGCTTTGGTTAAGGTTCATCTCCCTAATGCATGCTGTTGCAAGTGGTGAAGTGAGCTCCAAACCCCCAGGTGTAGGCAACCCACTAATCCAGTTTTTGTCTATGGATTGGCCTGTTCTGGACATTTCATATAAATGGAATCACACAATCCATGGCCCTCGGTGTCTGGTTTCTCTCACTCAGCATCATGTCTGCAGGGGTCACCCAGGTAGCAGCATGAATCTGAGCTTCATTTCTTCTTATGGTTGAATAATATTCCACCACAATTTGTGGATGGATAGACCACAATTTATCTATCCATCTGTTGATGGACATTTGGGTTGCTTCTACTTTTTGGCTATTATGAGTAATGCTGCTATGAACATTTGTGTACAAGTTTTTATATGGACCCATTTTCATTTCTTTTGGGTACACACCTGGGCCTGGAAGTGCTGGGTTGTATGGTGACCCTATGTTTATCTTTTTGAGAAACTGCCAGACTGGTTTTCACAGTGGGACTTGTGAATTTTTAAATCCAGCATGTGACTCTTGATCTTGGGGTCATGAGTGAGAACCCCATGTTGGGGGTAGTTTACATGTTTGGTTTTTTTTAAGATTTTATTTATTTATTTGACAGCGAGAGATACAGCAAAAGCAGGAACACAAGCAGGGGGAGTGGGAGAGGGAGAAGCAGGCTTCCCGCCAAGCAGGGAGCCCGACACAGGACCCCAGGATCATGACTAGAGCCAATGGCAGACGCCTAACGACTTAGCCACCCAGGTGCTCCTGTTGGGTGTAGTTTAAAGTGTTCCTTCCAGTGCCCACATTTTGGTCTCTAAACACCACTCCCCACTAACAGGAACCGAGACTCTGTAGAGAAATGACTGAATCAGGTCTGAGGAAGGGAATGTTGAAGATGAGCGTGGAACATCTTGTCCTTTAAGGAACCAAGACCGCTTTCTGAGACAGAGGGTCAAGTCAAAGGGCTCAGAGGCCAGCTCACAGGCCAAAGATGAGAACATGTAAGTGACAAAAGAAATAGTAACTTAACTGATTGAGCAAATTGAATACATTAAAACCCATGATTCACAGTGACATTCACAAAAAAGAAAAGAAATAAAAAAATACAGAAACCCCCATTTGCCACCATATATTGGAGGTGTCTGTAGCAGTGATATCATTCTTGAACACCAGTAATTAAAGGAAATAGCTCATCATTGTTCTCATCTTTCCTGCAAGAACAATATTTCAGGGCACCTGGGTGGCTCAGTCGGTTAAGCGACTGCCTTCGGCTCAGGTCATGATCCTGGAGTCCCAGGATCAAGTCCCACATCGGGCTCCCTGCTCGGCAGGGAGTCTGCTTCTCCCTCTGACCCTCTTCCCTCTCGTGCTCTCTATCTCTCATTCTCTCTCTCTCAAATAATAAATAAAATCTTTAAAAAAAAACATATTTCAGGGTAATTGGCTCAAGCTGATGAAGGAGAGCTCTTCTTTTGGGATTTCTAGCTGGTAAATGGAGAAGCAGTGCTAAGATTAGAGAACTCACTATTTTGCAACCGTGAAATAACCAGTTCAGGAAACGATTCTCAATTTATGAGGAAACCACTAGGAAAATGGCCAATGAGGCAACAGACATTTCCAGGGTGCCAAAGGGTCACCCCCAAATCACTTGCTGCTTATAAGGGAGGAATGTACCTTTACAGTGGTGCCATCAGCCTAGCATCGCTGGGCTCTGATGAATCTGCTTCACCACTGAAGGGACCACTGGCCAGCATGACCTACCTGCCGACCCAAGGTGACACGAAGTGCACAGCACCCCAAGAAGACTCTTTCCCCCAGCTTCCTATTTTGAAAACTTTTAAATCTACAGAAAAGTTGCAAGAATAATCCAAAGGACACTTGGACATCCATTTAATCAACTTTTAACATTTTACCACATTTTCTTTATCTATACGTGTGTGTATCTGTTCATTTTCTGAATCATTTCAGAGTGAATTGCAGACATGATATATCACCCCTACCTATAAAAAGTTAAACAGAGGATTACCATATGACCCAGCAATTCCACTCCTGGCTATCTACCCAAAAGAACTAACAACAGGCATTCAAACAAAAATGTGTACATGTATGTTCACAGCACCATTATTCATAATAGTCAAAGGTGGAAACAGCCCAAGTGCCCATCAACAGATGAATGAATAAACAGAATGTGGTCTATCTTGTCGATGGAATTAGTATTCAGCTATAAAAAAGAATGGAGATCTGATCCATAAATGAACCTTGAAAACATGATGCTAAGTGCCAGAAGCCAATCACAAAAGGTCACAGTTATGTATGATTCCATTTATATGAAATGTCCAGAATAGGCAAACCCACAGAGAAAAAAAGAAGCCCAGTGGTTGCCAGGGGCTGGTGGGGGTGCTGCCTATATGAGTATGGGCTTCCTTTGGGGGAGATGATAGTGTCTTACCACCAGACAGAGGTAGCGCTTACAGAAAACTGTAAATGTACAAAATGCCACCGATTTAGTCATTTTAAAATGGTTAAAGGTTAACCAGCTGGGTGTGGAGCCTGCTTGAGATTCTCTCTCCCTCCCCTACCTCCCCGTGTGTTCTCTTTCTCTAAAACAGAAAGACCGTGATACCTCACTCATAAATACCATAGTACTCATGAGGACATTTTCTTTTTCTTTTTCTTTTTTTGTTTTTTAGCTTTATTTATTTATTTTTGAGATGGGGTGGGGCAGATGGAGAGAGAGAATCTCAAGCTGACCCTGTGCTGAGCATGGAGCCCGACGCGGGGCTCGATCTCATGACCCTGAGATCACGACCTGAGCTGAAACCAAGGGTCAGAGCCTCCACCAACGGCACCCCCCCGGTGCCCCCCCACCGTGAGGACATTTTCTTACGTGACCGCAATGCCATCCATCAGGACACCGAACACACGAACAGGAATTCCTGACTTTGCACCAATTCCCAGCCCATGTGTCGAGCTGGCACAACTGAACCAGGACACAAGCCAGGTCTCCTCATGAGCTGCATTTGGTTGTTTTGTCTCTGGAGACACTTGTAATCTAGAACAGTCTCTGTCTCCTCTCTTTTCCCCACCCCATCATTGAATTATTGAAGAAAAGTAGGTCAGTTGTTCTGTAGATGAGTGGACTCACTCAGGCTGCAATTCCGCACTGATCTGTGTGACTTTTATGAGGAACGTGTCCCTGAGAGAAACACGTCCGTATCTGCTTTGCTTGTCATTACATCCACTGTAGGTGCCCACTGCGCAGTTGATGAACGAACAAATCCTCGTTTTGCGGAGGAGAAAGCTGAGGCTCAGGGAGGTCATACCACTTGGGGCCCATGGCCGCTCAGGGGAAGCTGGGACTTGCACCCAGGGCTGCCGGACTCTGAACCCAAACTGCAGGAGCTGCACAGCGCTGTAATTGTTGGTTTGACTGTTGCTGTCTCTCTACTAGACAGTCCCAATCAAGGCAGGGGCTGGGACTCATTATCAACATTTCTCCAGAGTCTGGCTTATCACAGGTGGTCAGTAAATGACAGAAGAAGAAATAAATGATCAGCAGATTCCCCCCCGCCCGCCACCCTGCCATGCCCCTTTGCTGGGCCAGGCAGGAGAATTATGGTAGTCAGCCTCCAAGGTGCCCCCAGCCCACACCTCTCGGTCCTCACACCCTCTCACATGGAGTAGGGCTGGCCTATGGAACCACAGGATGCTACAGAAATGATGCGGTGTGGCTGTCCTAGAAGACAATACACAGCTTCCATTGGGCTCTCCTGGGTCACTCATTCTGGGGAAGTAGGCTACCATGTTGTGATGCCACTCAGGCAGACTTGAGGAGAAGTCTGAGTGGCAAGGAAGTGCTGTGTCTTGCTGACAACCACGGGAGACTGCCATCTTGGAAATGGCACTTCAGTGGGCTGAAGCCCCGATGGCCTCTTGACTGCAGCCTCATGGGAGAATCTGAGTCCCTCAGCTAAGCTGCTCCCCAATTCCTGGCCCTCAGCAAATCTGAGCATTTGTCGTTTCAAGGTGTCACATTTCAGGACTACTTGTTATGCAGCAGGTGACAGCTGCTATGGGGTACTCACCTTGGTGCTCAGGTCCTTGCTCAGCTGCTCCAGAGCTTTCTTCCAGTCATCCTCGTGGGTCACGACCCTGAAGAGCATGCCCTGAATCATCTCGTTCAGCTCTGTCACTACTGTCTCCAGGTCGGCCCGGCTCGCCTTGCTTGCCAGGGTGCTCCTGTCGGCTTTCTAGAGACACAGGGGACTCAGGGAGCCAGGGATGCTGGGGTGGGAGCAGGAAGAAGTTGGGGGATCCAACCACTCTGGTCTGTGTTTTTTAGTCTGGGACCCTGAATGCCCGGCCTTGGTTTAAATTCAACCTTGGGGTCTAACTGGCTCAAACACGACTGTCAGGTCTAAGCCAAGGTCTTCCTGTGGATGGAGAAACTGGTGCATGGTTTTTAAGTTCACATAATAAATTGTCATTAATCCTGAGTCACTGAAAATAGGAGTTGACAGGACAACTTTGGGGAAGCTTCCCTAGCCCTTCTATATGAGAAAGATGGAAGGAAATTGTGGGATGTTCTCTGCCTGGTTTTTGTCTTGGCTGGATGACTCCATTCCCCTGGGTGGGAGAGTTGGGCTCAGGATGCACAGGCAGGAGGAGAGAGGAAACTGCTCACTCATCTCTTTCTTTCTTTCCTTTTTTTTTTTTTTTTAAGATTTTCTTTCAGAGAGAGAGAGAGACTGTGCATGAGCACAAGCATGAGCTCAAACATGAGGGGGGAAGGGGCAGAGGGAGAAGCAGACTCCCTACTGAGCAGGGAGCCCGATGCGGGACTCGATCCCAGGACCCTGGGATCATGACCTGAGCTGAAGGCAGACGCTTAACTGACTGAGCCACCCAGGCGCCCCCACTCACCTCTTTCAACTCCTGCTCCATCACACTTTTGTCCACCTTGTGCATTTCAAGGTTTTTAATTTGAGCATGGACAATCTAAGAACAGAAGAAAATGGCATGTTCCCCGTCCCTGGAGACCTTGGAAATAACATCTTCCTCCCATGTTGACACTTGCCACACTGCTAGGAAGGGACAAGGGGGCCAGGTGGCTAGCAGGTAGGGTGGGCACATCCAAAGGTGTGCATTCCAGATGCCAGATCAGAAGGGAAGGAACGTGAGCCTTGGGACAAGATGTCCCCTCAGAGGTGGCATCATAGGAACTTGGCGGCATGGGGGGAGGGGGGCAGACTTGAGGAAGGAAAACATAAACCAATGCTAACACTTTGGTTCCCTGGAAGTTTGAGGCAAGTTCAGCTCTTATCTGTAATGGGGTCCCAGTGAGAACTGGAGTCTATTTATCCACCAAGCACTTGGTGGATAAATAGGCACATGCTGTGCCCCAGTGTCAGGAGGAAACTCTCATATCCCACCCCCTCACTCCATGAAGAACCAGCTCTGCTCGTTAACTCTGCCCGCTCTCCATTTTCTGGACCCTGCCTGTGGCAGCAGCAGCTAACCTGCTTGGGAAGAGCCTCAGAGCCTCACCACTTCCTGAGCCATGTCCCCAGAGCCTTGTCCCCAGCCATGTTTCCTCCAAAGCTGGAAACAGGCTTCTGTTTCTTCCTTCATGTCTGGTTTCCCTCTCACCCTTAGGAACAGAGCCCCTAAACTTTGAGCTGGCACCTGGCAGCCCAGAATCATGAATTCATTTCACACCTTCCTTTATAGCTCAGTATGACCACTGGGGTGTAAATGGAAGTGGGGCAGGAAGTAGGTAGGAAAAATAAGAAATATTTAATGAAGTATGTCCTCTCTGCTGCTGGCTTGAATGCAGAGTTAATGACTGGAGTGCCAGTAGCCATCTTGTTCCTTGAGGTGAGCTTGGGAATGGAAGTCATACACCATGGAGTTCTATACCAGCTCTGGACCAACCACCTCTGAGTTTCTTGAATGTGAATGGGAAATACACTTACACCTGGTTTAAGTCAGTTATTTGTGGGTGGGGGGGGCGGAGATTATGTTATCTGAAGTTGAACCTAATTCTAATAAGTGCCAAGTTCCATCACATCCACCTTGCCTGAAGATGGGTCCCCAAGGTCTAGAATGGGAAGTGGAGGTATGGAGGGAAGGCCCTGTTTGGGCCTCAAGTCAGGTTGCTTCCTCCAACCCCACATAAGCAGAGAGCCCTGACCTTTTGGAGTCATCAGGCCCAATATTAATACTTACATCTCCACTTGGCTCTTTCTAGTTAAAATCTAGAAATAAAGAGGAGTGATTGGGCTTAGATCTTCTAACTTCTGTTAGGGTCACCTGTGTACTGGGTTGATTAACATCTTCCCCAAAATCCATGCCTTCCCAGAACCTGTGAATGTGGCCTTATTTGGAAATAGGGTCTTTGCAGATATATTAGTTAAGATGAGGTCATACTGGAATCCATCGACTGATGTCCTTATAAGGAGATGAAGACAGACACGCAGAGGGAATAGGGAAACAAGAGATTGGACGGATGTGGCCACAAGCCAAGGAATGCCTGGAGCCACCAGAAATTGGAAGAGGCAAGAATCCTCCCCCAGAGCCTTCTGTCAGAGCAAGGTCCTGCCAACACTTGGATTTTGGGCTTTTAGCCTCCAGAACTGTGACGGAACAGGTGCCTAGTGTTTTAATAAAGAATGCAGTTTGCGATCATTTCTTACAGTAGCCCCAGGAAACAAATACACCCAGTCAGTGGGAGAACTGGGATTCAAACCTAGGCCTATCTAACCCACAGCCAGGGCTCTGAACCCCAACACCAGGCCGCCTCCCGGCCGGGTGAGCCTCACTGACTTCTTTGCCTGGATCGGTTTTCTGCTCTTTCACGGGGCACTAATCCCTTAACTCTCCCACAGCCTAGAGAGACAAGAAGTGGCATCTTCTGGCTAATTCTGGCAGAGTCAGCACTCCGTACCCACTGGCCGCCTTATCCATGTCCTCCCACACCAAGCCCAAACTCTGAATATCACCGTTTGTTTCAAGAATGGTTTTGGAATGCAGCCTCTGGCTTATGGAAGACACTTGTCCCCTTGCAAAACGCAAATCACGTTTTCCGTAAGGTCCGTAAGAAAGAGTTTGGCCCCCACTTATGTTCTGGCTGGGGTCTCGGTGGGAAACTCTGAGAGAAGCACGCCAAGGGGACAGAAACATTTCCGTCTTGACTGGATGGTGGGGGCATGGCTACACAAACAGGCGGACGTGGACTGAGCTCTTAGACTTAAGACTCGGGCATTTTACTGTGTATAAATTACACTCCAGTTAAAAATAAACAAATACACCACTGACCCCTCCCCCCGAAGGGCCTGGAGGGTGTCTGTCTTGCTGACTGCAGCATCCCCAGCCACTAGCAGGGTGCCTGGTGCAAAGTGGACGCTGGTAGTACAGGCTGAATCACTCAGTGAATAAATAAGAGGATTTCTTGTGCCACCTGCTGTGTTCCTGATGTTTCTCGCAGACATCCAGGGAGAGCTTCACATCTCCAGATGTTGCAAAAGAACCACAGCGGATGGGTCTGCCCTCCCTCATTTCCCCAGGAAGGGCTCCACAGGGCTGCTGATTTCTTATCGCCTGTATTCATTTAGGAAATATTTAACGAAGCATGGGTTGTATACGGAACCCTGCTCCAGGTCCTTCCAGGGCTAACTTTTATAAGCAACGGATTCCTGTTGGCACAGGGGCAGGGAGCACAAAGGCTGACTTGTTCTGTTTGGCACTGTTTGGACAGGCCTTGTCCTCTGCAGTTTCCCTCAACAAGCAACAGCTACTCGGAGGCAGACAGTGAGCAACTCCTTCCCCCGGCACAGGGTGGACCAGAGCACTGGGCACACATCACGCGTGCCCGGGCACTGGCTCCAGTCTTGGTCGGGGAAGGCACCCTGCAGGGCACGGCAGCCCAGCCTCCCTGTAGGGCAGTTGACAGGGAGGGCCGGGAGCTGGCCAGAAACAAGGGAGTTCCCAATCTCGGCACTCACAAAAGTCTGCGCCGGCAAGCCTGCGGCCCCTCTGGCCACACACAGCACCCTCACCCTAGCTCAGGCTACGACTGGTTCCCCTTTCAGGAGTTCTTTGCATGCCAAAGGCACCCTGCGTGTGTCATAGCCTGATTCCTCTGTGTCATGGTCTCAGGAGGGGGAGATAAGCCTTCGCCTTGTGCCTCCTACATCCCCATGCATCCCACCAGTAGCCTCCTGACTTGGAATCGGAAGCCCCCATGGAAACCATCTCCGGTGGTTTTGTGTGGGGTTTTGTCTCTTATACTCTGAGGGAAGGTTATCTCCTCCTGCTAGGAATGACTCTGAGTGCTCCTCCAAAGGTTGGGGACACCTCTGAGACAAGGCATGGACTGGACAGCTCCTGAGGACCATCAATCAGGTCAGGGTCATCAGGCCAGCTGAGTCAGACCCTCCAGGCCCACGGGAGGGGGTGTCAGGCCGAGTGAGCCTCAGCTAGGTGCTCTGTGTCTGTCTACACAATTGTGGGGTCAGCAAATCTGCGGTTCCAGAAAGACACCCCCCTGGCCCATGCCCCGACGCTGAGAATTCACCAACAATCTGGGTTAGGGGAAATGTTAGGAACCTAACAGTTGATGCAAGAAATCCTCTTATTCATTCACTGATTCCCTCAGCACATTTTGAGCATTTGCTGTGTGCCAGGCACCCTTCTGGGGGCGGCTGACCCAGCGATCTGTAACACAGACATTGCTCAGGCCCTCTTGTTTCTATGTTTGGAGGTGCAGGTGGGGGTGGTGGGATTTGTCTGTTGCCACCGAGGTGTAATTCACACAAAGTAAAATGCCTGTGCAGCATCCCTGGTTTCCCCACCATCGGTGTATCGGTGTATCCGTGAAACCTTCAGGGAGGGTCCGAATGTCCAAGCGAGGAGCACTCCCTGCAGCTGCCCACCCAAGCCCCCAGACCTTCAAGTCATCCAAGCGAATCTGCAACTTCTCCACTGCCCTGTCCAGCACGACGTGGTGGTTCTTTATCTTCTCTATCTGGTGACCCCAAACTCTCTCGAGTTCCTCCTCCTAAAGGGGGGAGACATGGACAAAAAGGCCTCTGCTTCTAAGGTCACCATGGCTGGGGAAGGGGCATGAAGAGTATACCAGGCCAACGCGTCTCCGGCCTGTCTCCAGCCTGCCACCTAGGTGACCCCCAAAGACCCTCGCCACAGAAACCACACAGGCACAACCCACTGGGACCCCTGCACCTGCCAGGTCTGCCTCCTCGGCCTCACTGACTCCCCCAGGCTGCCTTTCAGCTATGGGACAGACAAACGCTATCCTGGGTCAGGGACTCTGCCATCAGCCCACCTCAAGCCACCCGTCCCCTGAAGCTCTTTCTGCCTGGGGCACTCACCTTTATCCTGGATCTCTGGAGGGTCCCGATCTTTTCCTGCAGTACGTCCACTGTCGTCCCAAGCTTGGAAGAGGCTCCCATATTAGCTGCAAGCAAAGGAGGGGGTGGCTGTCTGGGGCAGGGATGGGGAAAGAGGCTTCATCTAGAGCTCCACCTGCTTCTGAAAGGAGTCGTTGGAAGTAGTACTGTCCAAAGCAAGAGAATGTGAGCCTGGGGGCCTCTGAGGTCATTTAAAATTTTCTAGTAGCCACATTCTTTTTTTTTTAAACTTTTTATTTATTTATTCATGAGAGACAGAGAGAGAGAGAGAGAGAGGCAGAGGGAGAAGCAGGCTCCCAAGGAGCAGGGAGCCTGATGCGGGACTCGATCCCAGGACCCTGGGATCATGATCTGAGCCGAAGGCAGATGCTCAACCATCTGAGCCACCCAGGTGCCCAGTAGCCATATTCTTTAAACAAATCAAAAAAGGAGGAGGCCCTGGGTGCCTCTGTCAGTTAAGCATCTGGCTCTTGATTATGGCTTAGGTCATGATCTCAGGGTCGTGAGATTGAGCCCCCTGTCAGGCTCCGTGCTCAGCAAGGAGTCTGCTGGAGATTCTCTCTCCCTCTCCCTCTGCCCCCACCCCCACTTGTGCTCTCTCTCTAAAATAAATAAATCTTTGAAAATAAAAAAAGGAACAGGTAAAAGTAATTTTGATATTTTCTTTAACCCAATATATTCAAAATAGTATCATTTCAATATGGGATAAAAAGAAGTGAGATATTTTATGTTCATGTTTTCATATTAAGTTTTTAATATCTGATGTGCGCTTCACACTTAGAGCACATTGGCACTGGACCTCGCCCCATGCCACAAGGTTGAAAACTACTCAACTAGACTATTCTGCCCTCCACTCCCCTCAGCGAGCATTTTGCCTGTCGAAGGCATAAAATCAGAGCATAAATCTACCGTTTTGGCTGCCACCCAGAAAGCTTCTGTGGTCTTTAAGGATACGTGTGTTTGCCCGGCAGTAGCTCCTAACCCCACACGGACCATGTCATCCGGGGTCTGTTCAGTGGGTCATTCTGGTGGGATCTAGACTTATCGAAACATTGTATGGTAGGGCTGTGTTGTATGGGCTGTGGAAAGGGAGTTTTCCAGAGTCATTGTGACATGCGATTTTCCTTCCTCAGGGCCAGCGTTAGACCCCAACCACCCCTCTCCCCTATGAGGAGACCTCACAGTACCTTCGTGATGAAGGAACAGACTAGTAAGAGGCAGATGCTGAAGCCAAAGGAATGAACGGCTAATGGTTAATACAGCTTTTGTTGGGGGAGCTCAATGAAGGAGATGAGGGACTTCTCGAAGGCTGCAGGGAGGGAGGGCCTGAACCAGGCCAGGCCTACCTAGGTAATTCAAGCGCTGTTGAAGGGTGGATGACAGCTGGGCAAACTCTTCTTTCAGGGAGTCGTGTCTAATGGGCATCTGGGCTATGCGGCCCATGGAGTACCTGACGGCCGTCTTCTTGTCTTCAGGGGTCACAGCCTTTTGGGCAGTCAGCATGACCTGGGACAGGGTCCTTTCGGGAGGGAGGCTGGTAGCAGGGTACAGGGGAGAGAGGTCCTCACCCAACACCTTCAAGTCCTCCACCTCTGTGTCCTCAGTGAAAGCCAAGGCCCCGCGGGAAGAGCCCGCACCCAAGCTGTCTGCGAAGGCCCCTAAGGGCCCGGATGCAGCCACAGACGTTGCTATGGTGGCCAACTTGGTGGCAGGGGCATCCCTGATAGCCTTGGCGACCACCTCGGCTCTCCGGGCCGCTGAGGTGGCAGCAGCTGCGTAGGAGGCTGCAGCACCGGCCACGATGGCCGCAGTGGTCTTCGGGCGCTGAAGGGCAGACTGGGGAGTCTTAGCAGGTGCCTCTTTGGGGACCCCAGCCCTGGGGGCCCCAGCCCCGGGTGCCCTGTCCTGAGGGGCTGGCACGTCCTGGGATACATAGTCTTCCTCAATTTCTGAGACAGTTGGGAGCAGGTGCACCTCTGCCTGGCCAGACTGTGACTGCAGCGGACGGGGCCACGCTGAGCCAAACTCCCTGGCTGGCGGTGGGGCCCTGAAGTCCTGGGACTGTGCAGGCTCCAAGAAGCCTGAGCCCCAGAAGGGCCACGTGCTAGCCCTGGACAAGCCTCTGGGGGAAGGCCAGCGTTCTCGCGGCGAAGGCTGAAGCCCTGGGGCAGGTGCATGCCTGGGGGCAGTCCCAGGTCCGAGAGCAGGCCAAAGTCCAGGGCCAGCCCCAGGTCCAAGGGCAGGTGAAGGGCCAGGGCCAGGCCCAGGTCCGAGGGCAGGCCAAGGGCCAGGGCCAGGCCCAGGTATGAATGGAGGCCAAGGTGGTAGTGTGAACCCTGGTGTCAGACCGGGCCCCAGCACAGGCCCCGGAGCAGGCATGGCCTTGGGCTGTGGCCCTGGCGTGGGCACAGACCCGGGCTCAAGTCCCGGAGGCTGCCCTGGGCCCTGGGCCCCAGTGAGTAGAACAGCTTGGTTATATTCCTCCTCCTGTAGCTGCCTGGGGGTCTTGTTATGCCAGATAGTCTCCAGTAACCTGGGGCTCTGGATGGCCTCTGAGACCTGGACATGCCCAACAGCTTCATGGTACTCAGTGGTCTGAGGAGGACCAGTATCTTGGAGCTGCTCCACCAACTGCCACAGGTCTGAATCCTCAATCTGTGTTGGACCAGATCCTCTTGCAGAAGTTCCCTGCAGAAAAGGGGCAAGGCTGCCCAGGGCTGCTCCAGGCCAGCTCAGCAGTCACCCTGCCTTCCCCGACCCTCCGCTGCTGCCCCTCCTTTTCCTCCTTCACTCACGGGGTTGAACATGGCCTCGTGGAGGCTGCTCCAGAGCACCACGTCCTCAGCTTTGGGGATGGTGAGGATTTTGCTCTGGAGAGTAACCTGGGGGGCAGGAGAGGAGGTTGAGAATGAGGGGTGATGCCCTCAGGTGGCTCCTTTGTCCACACTTGCCTTTCTAGATTGTGTTCTCTTCCTTACTCTTTCCTGCCCACAGCACCCCAGGCCTGGAGGTCAGGGGACTGGGAAGGGAAGCGGAGGCTCTTACCACTTCCCGCTGCAGTGCATTCATCCTCCTGCTCTGTCCTTTCAGATCTTCGAACAAAGTATCCATTCTTTCTGGCTGCATCTGTCAAATAAGCCGAGTCCATGGGCCAGGGGTGCAGGTTCTGGTCCTGGCCCTGCTTGCCCCACAGCTCAAAGACAAGGACTCAGCTCTAGGTGACTGAGTTGGAGAAGGAAGAACAGATTCCAAAGCAAGTGTCTCCTAGTGAGTGGGAAAGGGGTGGAAGAGGGTCTCCTGGGAAAATAAGTTTGGAAAATGCTGGGCTTAAAAAGTATTCATTGGGGGCGCCTGGGTGGCTCAGTTGGTTAAGCGACTGCCTTCAGCTCAGGTCATGGTCCTGGAGTCCCGGGATCAAGTTCCACATTGGGCTCCCTGTTTAGCGGGGAGTCTGCTTCTCCCTCTGACCCTCCCCCCTCTCATTCTCTCTCTCTCTGTCATTCTCTCTCTCTCAAAAATAAATAAAATAAAATAAAAAAGTATTCAATGGGCTTCTACAGTGCAGGACTTCTCAGAGCCTCTAGTGGGCAAAAAAAAGTACATTAAGGGGGCACCTGGGTGGCTCAGTTGTTAAGTGTCTGCCTTCAGCTCAGGTCATGATCCCAGGGTCCTGGGATTGAGCCCCACATCGGGCTTTCTTCTTTCCCACTCCCCCTGCTTGTGTTCCCTCTCTGTCATAAATAAATAAAATCTTTAAAAAAAAAGTACATTAAGAATCTCCAAGAGGTAGGCTGAGGAGGCACTGTTTTCTCCAACAGATTTGTTGAAGGAATCTTTTCAGTGTTTTGGTTTTTTTTTTTTCTTTGTAGGGTTTTGTGATGCCCTTTCTTCTCAGATGGGAGCTACACAGACCAAGTTCTCACAGTTGCCATGACAATCAAATGTGTACACTGACCTGTGAATTGGGGATAATACACTAAACCATGCTATTTGGGGGCAAGTTGTAAAACCTCAGCACAATACCAGCCTGCCAGTGTGGAGGCCTGGCCTCTGAGCCCAGCTCTGACTCACCAGCTGTGACGTCAGGCTTCAGAGATTCTGTGTCCTTACACATCATGGTAAGGATTGAATATGTACCTGGGTTGATATCCTTGTGACTCTCAAGGGCGAGAGCCTGTATGTCTGTGCTGTTTGTTCCATATTTCAGTGTGGACAGAGCTTTACAGAATAGGAAAAGCTGTTCTCTTTCTGCTAAGTTGTTGGTATGCAAGCCTGGAGTCTTAGGGAGTACCTGCCTAAGAATGAAGCCAACCCACAGAAAAACATCACTGACAGAGAGATGTTGATGCGGTTGAGCACCTAGATCTGGTTGTACCTGAAGGCAACTATGGACTTTTTAGTAAATGAGACATTAAATTCTCTTCTTTGCCTAAGCCACAATGAAGTAGGTTTCTGTTACCTACAAATGATGTCATAACCCAGAAGTGTGGGAGCCATGGAGAGTTTAGTGGGTTGGGCCAAGTGGCTGGGCAATGTCTAAGCCCTTCTCCTGCTCTCATAGCTGTGTTCTTTGACTAAGAACAGGCTCTCTAGATATGCCCTGTCACCCCAACCACCTGAGGTCCAAGCAGCATGGCCAGTATAGAGGATGCTGGAGAGGGTCTACCTTGTCAACTATGTCCTTCAGTCTGTCCACATCCTTTCTGAGAGTTTCAGTGGTGTTCCTGAGTGCATAAATATCAGTAAGCAAATCTTGCAGAGTCTTCATGGACTAAAGGGGAAGAAGAGGAGAAAATGTAAAGTTTGGTGTGGCTGGGGGAAAAGGTATATAAAATCCAGAAGCTCTCTGTTGTTGGCCATGATCCAAGAAGTCCTCTTGGCTCTATCAAGGCCTGGGCTGGAACATGCTCAGAGGCCAGCAAACGACACCAAAGTCAACAATGCTGAGATCTCAGGTGGCCTGGGTGGGAAGGAGACAACTCTACATTGTCTCATCAATGCATCAGTGCATGAGACATCATAAGAGTCTCATTATGAAACACGTCAGGACTTTCAGTCGGAGTCACTGGAACATCAGCAAAGGAGTTATGATCAGAGTTACATTTTTATTTATTTACTTATATATTTTGTAAAGATTTTATTTATTTATTTATTTATTAAAAAGATTTTATTTATTTATTTATTTATTTGAGAGAGCGAGAATGAGAGACGGAGAGAGAGCACATGAGAGGGGGGTGGGTCAGAGGGAGAAGCAGACTCCCCGCCGAGCAGGGAGCCCGATGCAGGACTCGATCCCAGGACTCCAGGACCATGACCTGAGCTGAAGGCAGTCGCTTAACCAACTGAGCCACCCAGGCGCCCCAAGATTTTATTTATTTATTAGAGAGAGAGAGCATGAGAGGAGCAAGGATCAGAGGGAGAGGGAGAAGCAGACTCCCTGCCAAGCAGAGACCCTGACATGGGGCTTGATCCTGGGACTCTGGGATCGTCACCTGAGCCAAAGGCAGATGTATAACTGACTGAGCCACCCAGGCACCCCCAGAGTTACATTTTTAAAGGGTTCCTCTGGCTGCATGTGTAGACTGGCCCTGGGAGGGGAAGGGTGGAGGCCAGAGGACCAGTGAGGAAACCTCCAGACAAGAGCTAATGAGCTGATGGCTCATAGCTCAGCTCCACCACTGACTGGGATCATAATTGCATCTTCATAGGTTTTAGATTCTGTAATCATAAAATGAGTATAAAAAATGTAATGATGAGGGACGCCTGGGTGGCTCAGTCAGTTAAGCACCTGCTTTCAGCTCGGGTCATGATCCCAGAGTGTTGGGATCGAATCCCACGCTGGGATCCTTGCTCAGCAGGAAGTCTGCTTCTCCCTCTGCCTGCTGCTCCCCCCTGCTTGTGCTCTCTCTCTCAAGTAAATAAATAAAATCTTTAAAAAATGTGATGATGAAAAAAAAATGTGATGATGTATATGAAGGGTCCAGTGCATAGTTAGGCATTCAACTAACAAAAACAACTAACGGCAAAATGGCAAAAGTCCTTCTTATCAGTAATTATATTACATGTAAATGGATTAAACTTTCAGTTAAAATGCAAACATTGGCAAAATGGATAAGAAAACATGATCCAACCTCATGCTGTCTACAAGAGAAACAATGTATAGTCAAAGATAGGTGAAAAACAGGTGAAAAACAAAAAGATAGTTTTTGCTTGCATTACATGCAAGCAGTAATCAAAAGGGAATTTGAGGGGTGCCTGGGTGGCTCAGTGGGTTAAGCGTCTGTCTCTGGCTTAGGTCATGATCTTGGGGTCCTGGGACGGGCCCCATGTGGGGCTCCCTGCTCAGTGAGGAGTCTGCTTCTCTCTCTCCCACTGCCCCTGCTTATGCTCTCTCTCAAATAAATAAAATCTTAAAAAAAAAAGTGAACTGGAATGGCTATACTACTAATATTGGATAAAATAGACTCTAAGACAAAAATTGTTGCTAGAGACACAGGGGAACATTTATAATGATAAGATGGTCAATCCCTTAGGAAGATATAATAATTATACTTGATCTTAGCCAAAAGGCCAAGAAGTGATGGAAGATATAATAATTATAAACATATATGCACCTAACAATGTAGCCCCAAAATATATGAAGCAAAAATGGACATAACTGAAAGAAGAAATAGGTAATTCAAAAGAATAGTTGGAGACTTCAATACCCCATTTTCCATAATGAACAAGACAACTAGATAGAATATCAGCAAGGAAATCGATTTGCACATTGTTTTTTTTTTTTTAAGATTTTATTTATTTATTTGAGAGAAAGAGAAAGCGAGAAAGAGAGAGCACGAGCAGGGGGAGGGGCAGAGGGAGAAGCAGAAGCAGACTCCCTGCTGATCAGGAGCCCAATCTAGGGCCCAATCCCAGAACCCCAAGATCATGACCAGAGCCAAAGTCAGATACTTAACCAGCTGAGCCACCCAGGCGCCCCTAGATTTGCACAACATTATAAACCAACTAGACATAACAGATACCTACAGAACACTCCATTCAACAATGGCAGAATACACATTCTTATCAAGCACACCCAGAACATTCTATAGGACAGACGGTATGCTAGTCATTAAAACAAGTCCCAATACATTTGAAAAGGACTGAAATCATGCAAAATGTGTACTCTGACCACAACGGATTTAAAGAAAAAATCAGGGCACCTGGGTGGCTCAGTCATTAGGTGTCTGCCTTCTGCTCAGGTCATGGTCCCAGGGTCCTGAGATCAAGTCCCACATCAGGCTCCCTGCTCGGCGGGAAGCCTGCTTCACCCTCTCCCACTACCCCTGCTTGTGTTCCTGCTCTTGCTATCTCTCTCTCTGTCAAATAAATAAATAAAATCTTAAAAAAATAAAGAAAAAATCAGTAACAGAGGAAACTATTGGAAACTCACAAAGAAATTAAAAAACAACACTCTCCTGAATAACCAATGGGTCAAAGAAGAGATCACCAAGGAAATTAAAAAAAAAAACCAACCACTTTGAGATGAATTAAAATGAAAACATAACATACCAGAACTTATAGGATGCAGCTAAAGCTAACCTTAAGATACTGGGAAAAAGCAGAGCAAACTAAACCTGAAGCAAGCAGGAAAACTAAAGCAATAAAGAGTAAAATGGAAACTAATGAAATAGAGAACAGAAAAATAAGAGAGGAAATCAATGAAGCTACAAGTTGGTTCTTTGAAAACATCAACCAAGTTAGCAGATCTTTAGTGAGACTGACCAAGAAATAAAGAGAAGAATCAGAAATACAGGAGGGAACATTACTATTGACCCTACAGAAATAAAAGGACTTATGAAGGAATGCTATGAACAACTGTAAGCCAACAAATTAGTTAAGCTGGATGAAATGGACAAATTCTTAGAAAGACATAAACTACCAAAACTGATTCAAGAAGAAATAGAAAATCTGAATAGACCTAAGACAAGTGAAGACATTGAAATAGTAATAATAATAATAATAAAAAATACCACAAAGAGAGGCCCAGGCACAGATGGCTTCACCAATGACTTCTATCAGACATTCATTTATTTTAATTTTATTTTTAGAAAGATTTTATTTGCCAGAGAGAGAGAGAGCACATGAGAGAGAGAGAGAGAGAATAAGCAGAGGGAGAAGCAGGCTCCCTGCTGAGCAAGGAGTCTGATGCAGGACTCGATCCCAGTACTCTGGGATCATGACCTGAGCCGAAGGCAGACACTTAGCCGACTAAGCCACCCAGGCATCCCTAAAATTTTATTTATTTTTTTAAGATTTTATTTATTTATTTGACAGAGAGAGACAGTGAGAGAGGGAACACAAGCAGGGGGAGTAGGAGAGGGAGAAGCAGGCTTCCCATGGAGCAGCGAGCCTGATGTGGGGCTCAATCCCAGGACCCTGGGACCATGACCTGAGCTGAAGGCAGATGCTTAACAACTGAGCCACCAGGTACCCCTAAAATTTTATTTTTAAGTAATCTCCACATCCAGTGTGGGACTCGAACTTACAACTCCAAGATCAAGAGTCACCTGTTCTACCAACTGAGCCAGCCAGGTGCCCCTTCTATCAAAAATTTAAAGGAGAATTAATACTAATTCTTCACAGGCTTTTCCAAAAAATAGAAGAATTCCAAACTTATTCTATGAGGCCACTATTACCCTGATACCAAAATCAGACAAAGACGTCACAAGAAAACTAGAATATAGATGTAAAAATCCTCAGAATACTAGCAAACTGAATCCAGAAACAAATAAGACAACCCAATTAAAATGGGCAAAAATCTGAATAGGCATTTCTCCAAAGATAATATTCAAATGGCCAATAAGCACATGAAAAAATAACATAAAAAAAAAGAAAACACTCAACATTATGTCATCAGGGAAACACAAATCAAAACCACTATGAGATACCACTTCATATATACGAGGATGGTTAGAATCAAAAGCCAGAAAATAATGTGTTGGTGAGGATGTGGAGAAATTGGAGCCTTCTACAGACGCTGGTGGGTACGCAAAATGGTGTGGCCATTTTAGGAAATAGTGTGTCAGTTCCTCAGAAGATTGAACATAGAGTTACCAAATGACCCAGCAAGTCTACTCCTAGGTATATATCCAGGAGAAATGAAAACATGGGTCCACAAACTTGTATATGAATATTTATAGCAGCATTATTCATAATAGCCAAAAGTGGGAATGATCCAAATGTCAATCAACTGGCGGATAGATAAGCAAAACATGATATATTCATAATATGGAGTATTATTCAGCCATAAAAAGGAATGAAGTACTGATTCCAGAAAGATGAAACCTCGGAAATATGATGCTAAGTAAAATAATCCAAACAGGGACGCCTGGGTGGCTCAGTCAGTTGAGCGTCTGCCTTCGGCTCAGGTCATGATCCTGGGGTCCTAGGATGGAGCCCAGCGTCGGCCTCCCTGCTCAGCTGGGAGTCTGCTTCTCCCTCTCCTTCTCCCTCTGCCCTCCCCCATCCTGCTCATGCTCGAGCGAGCTCTCTCAAAAAAATTAATCCAAACACAAAAGACAGCATATGGCAGGACTCCATTTATATGAAGCATCTAGAATAAACAAATCCATAGAGACAGAAAGCGGGTTAGTAGTTGCTTAGGGCTGGGGGTGAGTTGGAGCGGGGACTGAGGAAATAGAGTGGTGATAAAGCATATGGGGTTCCTTTTGGGGGTGGTGAAAATATTCTAAAATTGACTGTGGTGATGGTTGTACAATTCTGTGAATA